CCTTAATCACCATATGCTGTCTGAAATGTATTTTTCAGGAGATTGTCATTACCAGTGTGCCTTATACCAAAAACCAAATACCGATATTTAATAGAAATGTATGTCAATTGCCTTGAATATATAAGGCATGTATTTTTTTCATATGCAGCAAAAATTATGCTAGTTGTAAACAACTAAGCTGAACGAGATCCGCAAAAACTTCTCGCGAAACTGGTGCATAAACTTATCACATTAAGTCTCCAGTAATTGGTAGAGTCTATGAGTATTGCTGTACATTTTGACCAGATGTAATTGAGAAGAGAGTTCTGTGGTCAGTGTGATCATAGGTTTCCCTCTTTCTGTCACTGTGGGAATTATTGTGTGTTGAGTGGGGGGTTTACGGGAGTTACAAGGAAGCGTCTAGTAATGAAAGACTGAGTTTTCTCAGAAGCTGCCCTTTAATGTAAAAGGTGACTAGTTTAGGTGTCTTAGATTTACAGTAGGTCTCTGTGAGCTGTTTTTTTTGCAGACAATTAATTGCAGCAGGACTGCAAGTTTATAATTGATTTTGTTTGTTTTGAAAAAACTGATGCAGTTTAGTTTACATTGGTCACACTACACCACTAATGTTTTCACACTACCAGCATGACCTCCCAGGGGAACTCTGATCGGCCAAAATGACCATAGCAGGCGGTGCTCTGGTATATCGGCCTCTTCAGGTTCAGGTCCCTGTCAGTGAAAATTGAGTTAGTTAGTTAGCTTTTCACCAAACAGCCCACACCTGAATCCTACTTGAACCAAAACTGTTCTTAATTTAATAAAATGTAGGCTACCAGATTTATGTAGCCTACATAGGTACTTATTAAATATTTGTACTAAATAATTTATATGTTATACTATGTATAATACGTACTGAATTAATTTGAATGAAGAGACACCTAATACAAAGTAGAACCGCCATTTCGAGTACATTGGTGGTAGTGATACCCCCCCTGGAGGAAAAACTGGGAAAGGCCATTTTTACATATATTACTGTGAGGATAGAGCAGGATTGTAATCTGTGTAATTCTTTTCTTCTTCTTCTTCTTTTTTTTCTTCATGCCACATATTTTTAAAATCCGGTATACACACACTGTTTTATGGGGACTTCCCATAGATGTAATGGTTTTTATGCTGTACAAACTGTAGGCCTAAACCTACCCCTCACAGAAAACTTTTTGCATTTTTAGATTTTCAGGAAAATTGATTTAGTGTTATGTATAAGCTGTTTTCCTCATGGGGACCAAAAATTAATTCACAAGGTCAAAAATTACTGGTATTACTATCCTTATGGGGACATTTGGTCCCAATAATGTAAATAATACCAGGTACACACACACACAAACACATATTCATAATATTACACCTTTGAATCTGCCCAAAGTGGTGCAAACAAGTGAAATTGAACTAAGTCAGAATGTGCAAGTCATGCTGTAAATGCACTTAACACAGCAAAACCTGGACATTAAATGACTAAAGTGTAAAGAATTCACAATATTGTATTACAATAGTGCCCTCGATATTTCAAGAGCTTTCACAAGGACAGTTTTCACTTGCTGTTTTTGTTAAATATTGTTTAAATTAATATATAAAATGTTAATTTGGTTTTATTTTGTGCTTATTCATTGACTAAAATGTTGTTTTCATCTACTAAAAGTAGGCTAGAAGATATTTTACTCTAAGCAAACCTGTTTGGATGGGTATAACATTACTTGGCACTTACTGAACAGATGTAATAACAGAGAATAATTCTCCCTTATTTTAGTGAACTAAATTCCATGTAAATAATGTCTCCCTCTATATTAACTCACCCACACAAAATACTGAAATTAACCATTTGGTTTTTAAGGCTGAAAAATAGAAATAGTTGTTTTCTCTTCATAAAGTAGAAGAACATAATAACAACGTATTATCTTATTGTTTACCTAACAATGACACCTGGTCGGAGGTCAAAGTTTTTGTTGACAATCTGTAGCAACTCCTTCTCTGTTTTTTCCGATGAGCCATAGGTGAAGAGGGAGATTGAGAGAGGGTGTGCGACTCCAATGGCATAAGACACCTAGTTTTAATCCATACCAGATAAAATTGGTCAATAATGTGGATCAACTTTTTTGTCTAGACACAACCTTATACATTGTTCACAGTTTTTAAACTTGTAAGATGTTATTGAAGGTGTCTACACTTTCGTCTCACCTGAACCAACACTCTTCTGCACAGTTTGGCCTTCACCAGAGACTTAGCCACCCAGCGTGCAGCATAGGCAGCTGAGCGGTCCACCTTGGTGTAGTCCTTTCCAGAGAAGGCCCCACCACCATGAGCCCCCCATCCACCATATGTGTCTACAATAATCTTCCTACCCGTGACACCAGCATCTCCCTGAAAAGCAAAGATTGTTTTATGGTTTAATGAAAATTCTGTCATCCTCGTGTCATTCCAAACCAATAGGCAGTTATTTTTTCCTGTGGAAAAACAAAGGAAGAATTTTGTGAAGAAACATGAAACAGCTCTTCATCTTAATGAAGCTCACCATGGCTCGCCATGTTCCGCTACAATGTCAGAGCCAGTGCTGTTTTGGTGTCGATGTTAAAAGTGCATTATACAACAGTGTTCCATACAACCAATTGACAGAAGGTGCTCACCTGAGGCCCTCCGATGACAAAGCGTCCACTTGGCTGCAGATGGTAGACAGTCTTATCGTCGAGATATTTTGCTGGCACCACAGCTTTGATGACCTTCTCCTTCAGAATACGCTGCTGCTCCTCCAGTGAAATGTAGTCGTCATGTTGGACGGAGATGACCACTGTATGGACACGCAAAGGTATCACAGCGCCATTCTCCTGTTTGTAGTGCACAGTGACCTGGAGTTGTGGAAATCATATAGGAAAACATCTGAAGTCATAATTTTTTTGACATAGGGAATTTGAAGAACATTTCCTTCTGTACGTCTGAAAATGGCAGAACTCTAAAATAGACCAGAGGTTTCAGCTTCCTGAAAACTGTCCAGCTTGAGTTGCTGGCATGCTCCTGAGATTGACGGGTGCACAGCCGTGTCCTCTGTCCCACTGCGAAAAGTAAGGACCGGAGGCTCTGGATGTCATGCTGGGGGTCATTTTCTCTCAAGCATTAAAAGAGACCGCCTCATGGTCACTATCTTGCTCAACAGGCGTCACACCTATTGGCCAATGTGTTGATTCAATGAACACTTGTCAGATAAGATAGCATGGTCAATGTCAGTCAGGGGCTTTGAACCTGCACATTGTGGCTTTAAAGACTCAATTATATAAACTTTAGAATACAAGTGTGCAAAAGTAACTTCACAACCTTTTTGGTTTTTCTTCTAAGCATAACATTTAGTTTTTTCATTCTTGTTTTGCTGACCTGAGTTTTTGAGTCTGGGCGGAGCCATGGGATGGTGCCATCCCGCCGCAGTTCGGCCATTTTGGCATTGAGTTTGTGAGCGAGGACAATTGTGAGTGGCATGCACTCCTCCGTCTCATCAGTGGCATAGCCAAACATGAGCCCCTAAAACACAATGGAAATGCAAAATTAGTTTTGCAATCAGCATCAGTTTATCACGAATTATGTGCTCAAACACATTTTTACACATCCGTTGTGTTCGGACCTGATCTCCAGCTCCTATGTCTTCTTCATGTCTGTCAATGTGGACACCCTGCGCTATATCAGGAGACTGCTGCTCGAGAGCCACCAGCACATTGCAGGTTTTATAGTCAAAGCCTGAACAAAGGAAAGAGTGGGAAAAATGGTGGATGAGTTAGTATAGATCAGGGCTGTCCAAACTCGGTCCTGGAGGGCCGGTGTCCTGCAGAGTTTAGCTCCAACCCTAA